TGAAGGCAGTCCTGTATCAGGAAGTTTTAATGTTTTACATTTTACAGTGGTACCTCGGTTACATACACTTCAGGTTACACACTCCACTAACCTAGAAATAGTGCTTCAGGTTAAGAACTTTGCTTCAGGATAAGAACAGAAATTGTGCTCCGGCAGCGGCGGCAGCAGCAGGAGGCATCATTAGCTAAAGTGGTGCTTCAGGTTAAGAACAGTTTCAAGTTAAGTACGGACCTCCGGAACGAATTAAGTACTTAACCCGAGGTACCACTGTACTGTTTTTATATGTACTGTAAGCCAGCCAGAGAGGCTGAGGAAACCCAGCCAGATTGCGGGGTAATAAATACAAAATTATCAATTATAAATTATTATTGTAAGTCATGCAGAAATGTAGAGAACTGAACTTGAGAGAATCTGAAAGCCCAAATCCGCACATCCCTGCCACACCGACAAGGCACAGATTGCCTGCCCAGGGCAAAGTGCTTTATCCTAGCATTGGAGGCTTCACACAAGACCAACAGAACAAGGATCTGAACAGCAAGGGGTCAGATGTCTTCTAGAAGTTGTGTAGTTCTTTATCTCCTTGGCCTCTGCTGGGAGGGCATTCCACAGGGAGGGTGCCACTGCAGAGAAGGCCCTCTGCCTCGTTCCCTGTAACCTCACTTTTCACAGTGAGGGAACCACCAGAAGACCCTCAGAGGAGGACCTCAGTGTCCAGGCTGAGTGATGGGGGTGGAGACGCTCCTTCAAGTATACTGGGCCTGAGGTATGAAATGAGCAAAACAGCAGTGACCCTTTACAAGTATTACAAGCCAGGAGAGATAACTCACTGCAGGAAAATTGTTCCATGCTATTATCATGTTTCTGTCCCTTCATGTCTCTCTATTAAAACACAGGCTGCACTTCACAAAAGAACCTTTGTTTCCTCATGAAAACCCACCAGGTGTGAATTTCTCCTTTGGAATATCGTTTTGGTTGCATAACCATTTTTGCAAGCAGTTTCCCCTAAAATAATGCATTGTGTGTGTGATTTTTTCTCCTAATATACACATTTTAGTACAGTCGTACCTCAGATTACATACGCTTCAGGTTACAGACTCCGCTAACCCAGAAATAGTGCTTCAGGTTAAGAACTTTGCTTCAGGATAAGAACAGAAATTGTGCTCTGGCGGAGAAATTGTGGATAAGAACAGAAATTGTGCTCTGTTAGGAGACCCTTATTCCTCTCACAGAGCTTTAGTTCCCAGAGGGGTTTAACAATCCCTCTTCCCAGGGAACTGTGGGAATTGTAGCTCTGGGAGGCAAATGAGGGCCTCTTCCTCTTAAACTCAGGGCCATGGGTTCAAGTCCTGCGTTGGGCAGAAAGATCCCTGCATTGCACAGGGTTGGACTAAATGACCCTTGAGGTCTCTTCCAACTCTACAATTCTATGGTTCTTAACAACTCTCAGCACCCTTAACTAACTATAGCTCTGTCAGTAGAGTATGAGATTCTTAATCTCAGGGTTGTGTGTTCAAGTCCCACTTTGGACAGGAGATACCTGCATAGCAGCAGTTTGGACTAGATGACCCTGGTGATCCCTTCCTGTTCTATAATTCTATTATTCTACCCAGGAATCTTTAGGAGAGGCCATGACTGACAAAATGGTATTATAGTGCTTTGGGTGTACAATGGTACCTTGGTTCTCAAATTTAATCCGTTCCGGAAGTCTATTCCAAAACCAAAGCGTTCCAAAGAAGTGCGCTTTCCCATAGAAAGTAATGCAAAATGGATTAATCCATTCCAGACTTTTAAAAAGAACCCCTAAAACAGCAATTTAACATGAATTTTACTATCTAACGAGACCATTGATCCATAAAATGAAAGCAATAATCAATGTACTGTACTATACAATAAACAAAACAGTATTCTAGATGATAAAAATTAGAATTAAAAAACTTTCTTACCTGCACTGATGATAGTCATTGTTTGGATGGGGGGCTTTTATTCATTTTGCAGTCACACAATCAATCAATCAATCAATCAATCAGTAGCTGAACTGGGATCCACACAGTCACAAAAACAAATTAACTGAAAAAGCCTCAAAACAAAAAACGCAAAATAAATAGCAAAAACAAAAGCACCAAATATAATCTCCAAATATCACCTCAGAATTACAATGGGGGGATGCAAATTAGCAGCGCAACAGGAAACACAGGGGGACTCAAAACGGAGCATGTTCGGCTTTTGAAAGAAAGTTTGAAAACCAGAACATTTACTTCTGGTTTTGCAGCGTTCAGGTTCCAAGTTGTTCGTGAACTAAGGTGTTTCAAAAACCAAGTTACCATTGTACAGTGCTAATGTGTCCTTGGAAATAACATTGCAGTGGCAGCACCAATTCTGTCTGGTATAAGCAAATCAGCAATAGAATAATGATGGGGGCAACAGGTAGAATAGAGTCATTTGCTGTCTAGCAGGAAATGGATCATTTACTCCATGCAAACTAATTGGACACCTCATCAGGGCGGTAACATTTTGTTTGGCTTTTGCAGGAGTGCTGTTTGGCATTGCGGTGAGGACCCTGCATGCAGCCACTGGCAGTAACCGGAGTACTCAAAAGGCTGGTGCTACAATTGCTGGGACAGTCGTTGTTCTGTTCCTTGTCTTGCTGCTCTTGGGAGCTGTCCTGCTACTCTACAGAAAAGGGACTTTAAGGTAACAGGGCTAGGCTACATATTCAGTACACGGTATGGTATTTCGGGAACCGTATGTACCATGGGAGAGCACATATAAATGCTCCTCTGCAATTTTTTATTGTTTAAAAAAATCCTTGCATGCAGAAAACAAGCATGTCAGGAAGAAGGCAAGGTTGGAATTTTGCCCCTTGGCATGCTAGGTTTTGATAGGTTCTTGGACCCACCCAGACACACAAGGCAAAGTAGTGTCCAGCATTCTCCAGCAATCATCAGATCTGTTGCTTTCCCATGTTGGTACGAAAGTTCATCATTCAGTATGAAAACAAAAACTCCCATGGAGCTGGCCTTGTGTCAGGAGTGAGCCAGCAATAAATCACAAGGAGTAAGTGAAGCTAACTCACTATTAGAAGAAACAAGGTCTGCTCAGGAGTGTCAGGCCTAATGAGCACAGCAACTCTTCTTTGTAGGTCTTGCCCCTATGAGGCAGTTGTGGAGGCTGAAGATCCCTGCCTTCCCTGAGCTGCCGAAGTCTCTTCTTCCCCTGAGTCCTTCCCAAGTCATCTGAGACTATGCCAGCGCGCCTGTCTCCGCTTCTCCCTCTTCATACTTCTCCTGGTCCTGGGAGACCAGGAGAGAGGGGAGCCTCCTAAACTAAAAATTCCCAAACGGTATAACATTCCTCATTAGGGAAGTTACTCCAACCCCAGAGTGGCTGGGGCAACCCAGTCAAATGGGCGGGGTACAAATAATAAACATTGTTGTTGTTGTTGTTGCTGCTGCTGCTCTTTTGCGAACCTCTTCCAGCTCTGCAATATCCTCATTGAGTTGACCAGAACTAGACACAGTATTCCAAGTGTGATCACACATGCATCTCTATAATGGTATTCTGGCATTGGCAGTTCTGCATATATATATATATATATATATATATATATATATATATATATATAATTACATTTTCTAATATACATTTCGAAATATTCATTTAAACAACCTTAAATCAATGACTTCCCTTCTTCTCTTTCCATGGTTCATTTTGCAAACCATGTTGTTGTTTAGTCGTTTAGTTGTGTCCGACTCTTCGTGACTCCATGGAACAGAGCACGCCAGGCCCTCCTGTCTTCCACTGCCTCCCACAGTTTGGTCAAACTCATGTTAGTAGCTTCAAGAGAACACTGTCCAACCATCTCGTCCTCTGTTGTCCCCTTCTCCTTGTGCCCTCAATCTTTCCCAGCATCAGGTTCTTTTCCAGGGAGTCTTCTCTTCTCATGAGGTGGCCAAAGTATTGGAGCCTCAGCTTCACAATCTGTCCTTCCAGTGAGCACTCAGGGCTGATTTCCTTCAGAATGGATAGGTTTGATCTTCTTGCAGTCCATGGGACTCTCCAGAGTCTCCTCCAGCACCATAATTAAAAACCATCAATTCTTTGGCGATCAGTCTTCTCTATGGTCCAGCTCTCACTTCCATACATCACTACTGGGAAAACCATAGCTTTAACTATACAAACCTTTGTTGGCAAGGTGATGTCTCTGCTTTTTAAGATGCTGTTTAGGTTTGCCATCGCTTTTCTCCCAAAAAGCAGGCGTCTTTTAATTTCGTGACTGCTGTCACCATCTGCAGTGATCATGGAGCCCAGGAAAGTAAAATCTCTCACTGCCTCCATTTCTTCCCCTTCTATTTGCCAGGAGGTAACGAGACCATTGGCCATGATCTTAGTTGATGTTGATGTTGAGCTTCAGGTCATATTTTGCGTTCTCCTCTTTCACCCTCATTAAAAGGTTCTTTAATTCCTCCTCACTTTCTGCCATCAAAGTTGTGTCATCTGCATATCTGAGGTTGTTGATATTTCTTCCGGCAATCTTAATTCCGGCTTAATTGCATACCATACATCCCTGCATATTTTGCATGAATTAAACCATTCAGTAATCCATTGTTACATCCATCAAAACTTATTTACACTGTTGAATTTGTCTTAATGCTGCCAGCGTTTTTAAATGAACACAATTTTCACCCATACATTCAGTAAACATTTTCCAGTCTTCTTTGAACATACATTCTTCTTGTTCTCTCATTCTATATGCTAAATCGGCAAGCTCTGCGTATTCCATCAGTTTATGTTGCCATTCTTCTTTGCTTGGGACCTCACTCGTTTTCCAGGCAGCTTTGCTTTCAGTCCTTTCCTAACCATCTCTAGCATGGAGTTGGACCCCCTTTCGCAGCTTCTACACAACTCAGTATTGTCTACATGGGCAGTGGCTCTCCAGGATCTCAGACAGGGATCTCCCCCTTCCCTGGAGATAACTCAGATTGAACCTGGAACCTCCTGCATGCAGAGTAGATGCGCTAACCATTGATAGACCCTAGATCTTTCTATGCCTATGCTATAGGCAGGAGGCGGGTGGATGGAGACAGCTTGCCAGGCAGCCCTTTCCTCTGCCCTAGACTGACCTGCTTGCTCATCGCCGTTCTGCCGTTTCAGTAGACTATATAAACACATGCTGCAGATATCCAGTGGGCGTAGTGGTTGGTCACGGTGTGTGCGTGCCCCTGGCAAGCTTCCAGCTGAAGTCCCAAATGCTCCTTCTATGCGCTCCCAGGGGTAATCTTCGTTCTCGGTGTGCTCCACCAGCTGGCAAACCAATGCGCCATGCTCTGTGCGCTTGGGCTGTTCCTGTTCATTAGTGCTAGCCATCCCCCCCCACACACCAGGCAGCAAAGCTCCTGGGCCTTGCTTGTTTTCCTTGCTAGTGTCAAGCTGATTAGCATTTCCCAGCAATAAAACAGGAGCTTCGTTTAATTTCTAAATAAAACTCCAAACTTCCGTTGCTGAGAATATAGCATGCATTTCGCTGTGGTGTGGATTTGGAAACTGGGTTTTCTATTGAGACAAAATGTCCTCTCTCTCTCTCTCTCCCTCTCCCTCCTTTTTTTTAAAGGCAGGAGGTGTTTGGAGGAAATCTTTTTGTAAATAGAGGATCGGAGCAATCAGGCAAGGAACCTTCCTGTTCTGTGCCTATTTGCATTATCGGTTGTTCTGGGGAAATGTTCTTTGAAGTCACTACAGCCTGTTGGTTTGTGACTATAATCAGGTGGTGAGTAAGAGAGTGGATTGAGTTTGAAATGGTCAGCAACTCGAGACAAGACAAGGGTCTCTTGACTCATTTCTCCTTATCCCAGGTTAAGCAATCATGTAAATTATGGGACTGTCATCATCAATGGTGTTTCAGTTTCATGGTCCCTTGTTCAAACATACACACTATATATACACCCAGTGCTTTTTTTCGGGGGGGGGGGGTGTTGTGCAAGGGTACGCATACCCCTAAACATTTTGTGAATCTAAAAAAAATATTTTTTTAGTTTCTTCTCTAGCACTGTGAATCGCCAGTTCCGTTGCTACCCCCAATGGCAGCCTCATTTCCTCTCATGGTGTTCCTGAGTCTCAGACAGAAGCGAGCGTTTAATGTGTGAAGCAGTGTGGAATGTGGATGTGTGGTGTTTTTCTGATGAAAGTTTGGCCTCATTGAGGGGCAGTATTTCAATACGAGTAGGACAATTACTAACTATTTTTCATCATCACAGCCAGCAATGAAGTGTAAAGTTAATGACGACTCTGTAAAAACTAAAGATGGGATAACGGTGTTGTGCATGTTCTTTGTACTTTTATCCATTTACTGTATTTATTCTTCCCAATTTGAACTATAAAATGGTGATTTTCTTGAGTCAAAATGAGAGTGTCCCTAAACATTTTTCTTTTAAATGAAAAAAAAAGCTCTGTATACACCACAAACTGAAACTGGCTTGCCAGGGAAGGAGTTCTTGTGTAGGGGATGTGGAAGGGTCAAGACTTCTCACATGACCACTGTTGGCCTACTGGTGATCAAGAGATAAGGTAAAGGTAAAGAACCCCTAGACGGCTAAGTCCAGTCAGAGATGACTATAGGGTTGTGGTGTTCATCTCACTCTCAAGCTGAGGGAGTTTGTCCACAGACAGCTTTCTGGGTCAGGACTAAATCGCTTCTGGCACAACGGAACACTGTGACGGAAACCAGAGCACACGGAAATGCCGTTTACCTTCCTGCCACAGTGGTACCTATTCATCTACTTGCACTGGCATGCTTTCGAACTGCAAGGTTGGCAGGAGCTGGAACAGAGCAACAGGAACTCACTCTGTTGCGGGGATTCAAACCGCTGGCCTCAAGAAGCCTCTCTTGTATCTGGCTGTCCACCCTCCTTCTGCCAGTGTTCAGTGATGGTGCATAGCTTAAATCTCTGACCATTCCCTGAGTTCAGGGCCCCCAAATGAAACCTCTTATGAGATCAACACAGAATCATAGAATTTCATGGCGGTTGTTTGTGCTGATTTCCAGTCATTTCTCCTTCTACAGATCTCTCGCGTCCGTTCGTTTTACCTCCTTGTGGAGCCGCAAAAGGGACCTGGATCTTTCAGGAGAAACAGCCGACAAGGGGTTTGATAATCCCATTTTCGACACACCATGTGACCCAGCGGTAATAATTCCACCTTTATGTAAATCATTGGTAGCTCCTTCTGCATCATTTTAGCACAGAGAGAAGGCTGCTGCACAAGTCAATGGATCCCCAAAATGAACGGCTATGAAGTTGCACAAATGCTCGATTGCAGCTTATGTTTGTAGGGTAGCTTGCAGCAAAGCCAGTGGAGTCTTAAATGGCAGCGGGGTGGGGGGTGGTTAGATAGTAACCCCCCTCAGGGCAGGGGTCAGCCCCCTTGTATGGTGCAATGCACATTTCATGGCACTGTAGAAATAAATAATGAAAGTGTTAAGGCAGGAGAAGAAAGGAGGATTTATATTCCAAGTTCTCAACAAAGGTCCTTCTGTGCACCTGGAGGCTTCCTACCTTTCTCCTGATTCAGAGACTCCAGAATCCTATAGACCCATTTCAGTCATTGGGCAAGATGTTAAAATATTTTCTGGTATTTTAGCTAATAGATTGGCAAATATATTACTGTATTTTTCGCTCCATAAGACACACTTTTTCCCTCCTAGAAAGTAAGGGGAAATGTGTGTGCGTCTTATGGAGCGAATGCAGGCGGGAGGCTCTCATGGAGCTGTGTGCGGCTCTTGGGGGCTTTTCCCCAAGGAGGGAGAAGGGCAGCCCGTCAGTCCCCTCTCCCTCCTCCGGGAAAAGCCCCCAAGAGCCACACACACACTCCATGCGGCTCGTGAAAGTGAGCGCTGAACAGAGCCTGTAAGCATCCCAGGCTCTGCTCAGCACTCCCTTTCACGAACCACGTGGAGCGTGTGTGCGGCGCTTGCAGGCTTTTCCCCAGGAGGGAGAAGGGCAGCCCGTCACAGCCAGGGACCTAGTATAATCTGTGCTGGTCAAGCAGGTTTGATTAAGCATAGGCATATAGCAGTTCCTGTATGTAAGATGCCGAACGCAGTATATTACGGAAAACTGTATAGAAATCCATGTGCGATCGCTTCATTAGATGCTCATAAAGCTTTTGATAAAATGCATGGGGATTATTTGTACCTACTTCTCTCTCAAAAGAACTTCGATGATGGTTTTGTATTAGCACCACAAGCTTTATATACTAATAGCAAGGCAGTAGTTAGGGTTAATGTACACGACTCTTCCACTCTGTAGATGTACAGAGAGGTACAAAGCAAGGCTGCCCTCTGTCAATGCTACCTTTCATGTTTGCAATGGAACCACTTGCAAACGCTGTTCAAAATAATAACAAAATCAACGACGTTATATGTAATGGTCAATCCTATCCACTCAATTTGCTTGCTGATGATATAGCTCTGGTGGTCTCTGATCCAGAAGTGTCGCTAATGGAGGCCATCGGGGAAATTAAAACGTTTGTTAGATTTGACTGGATTGAGAAATAATAAAACAAAATCAGAATGGTTGCATCTGAATGTACCCGTAGAATTAAGAGATGAATTAAGAGAGAAGACAGGCTTTCAGATCTGTCCATGATATATTAAATATCTTGGAATTCACCACCCTTCCACATTCTTCGTTCCAGCAGTCCAGGATGGAATATTCCAAAACCCACCAAGCTGTAGATTTAGGACTAAACCACATGTAATATTGAGCACATCAGCAGCACACCCCCATTTGTTAAAAAGCAGCAATCGGGATCAGGAGGTAGCTTTGATTTAACCATTTACATGCACCACAGTTGCTTTCTGGATTGAACCCCCCCCAAGCCAAGGAAGAGTGCAATTGTGAACAGCATGCTTAACACAGCATGCAGTTTGGTCCTTAAAATAAAGCAAAGATAGGGAAAAGGTTTTGTGCAGTATAAGCAACTTTGCATATATATATATATATATATATATATATATATCCCCAGATATCCAGCTTTTCTAAGTGCAGAAGTGGGTTATCATGTGCACAGCAAACGAACAGCCTTGAGCATTGCTTTGTGAAACGTAAGTGCTGCGTTGACAATATGGATTCATCTCAACCCATAAGATCGACTTTCTCTTCAAAGGATTTAAGCTCCAGAGTTATATTTTGCACCAGCCGCATTAAAAACTCTGGTCTCTCTCTCTCTTCTAGGCTTTAGCTGGTGCGTGCTCCGTGGAGGAGGAGGAGGAGGCACCGAAGGAGATGGCGAGCAAAAATAGCGAGCTCTATTACATTAATCCTTTATATGATGAAACGGAACTTTGTGCTTAACATCAAAGCTGTCAGAGGAAGACAATCCTGCCATCCTGTACTTTGCTTGCCGTTTCAAACAGGCTCAGCCACTGCAGAGACCAGCTCACCAATGCACAGATCCTGCTCACTTCAATGGGGACAGTGCAGAAGAATTCCCTGGTGATTGGCCCCCAAAGTTATTTTGACGCCGCCTTGTCTTAAAAATACTGCTTAATTTTCAAATGGGAGAGCATATCAAATTGCTGGGTGGTCCTCATGAAAATCAGAAAGGGTCTGCAAATCTTTTTCTCATCAGTAGTGGAATATGTATCGTCACTGAATTTCAATAAAGAATGCCTATCGCACTAAAGCAATTAGAGCCCGTTTCGTATCATTTGTGCATTGCTGTTCCCTCCCATCCTTAAGGGAGAGCAATGAGTGGGATGGCATCACCCAAGAACCTCTCCACCTGCCTGATGACTGTGGAACGCCCTCCCATCAGATGTCAAAGAGAACAACAACTACCAGACTTTTAGAAGACATCTGAAGGCAGCCCTGTTTAGGGAAGCTTTTAATGTTTGATGCATTACTATATTTTAATATTTTGTTGGAAGCTGTCCAGAGTGGCTGGGGAAGCCCAGCCAGATGGGTGGGGTATAAATAATTAATAAATAAATAAATAATTATTATTATTATTATTATTATTATATCCCGACAGCTCGGGGTAGACTTGGGAGTCACGGGCGGGTGGCGTGCCGAATGGCACCCCCCTCAGTGAGGGCACCCGGGGCAGTCTGCCCCCCCCAAGCCCCTTCCGACGCCCCTGCTTGCATGCAGAACATTCCACATTCAAACACTAATATTTCTGGCTAGGGCTGGGGAAGACTCTCTGGCTGAAAACATGTCATGTCTCTGCCACTCAGAATAGACACAGTACTGAGCTAGATGGAGCAATAGTCTGGGTCAATATATGGCAGCTTCCTGCATTGCTGAACTTCTAGCTGAACTCAGTATGTTGGAATCTACATCAGAATTCTCACAGACTTTTGGAACAGTCTCTCTCTTTTACAGATCCTCACCATCAAATTGCTGCCTTGTAGAAAGGCACCTTGAAAGGCAATGAATTCAGGCACCCCCCCCCAATGAATTCTCAGTGAGAATTCACATATTTTCTTCTTCTAGTGCTTCGCTCAGCATTGTAGGGGCTGCATATGCAATCAGGCAGTGATTTGTGTGAACAGGACTGGCACAGATAAGTTTCAATGTCACTTGCTGTTCCTCTGGCTGCTTTTAGAGAGATTATCTAGAGATTTTCTCCGCAGAATTCTTAGCAAGCGCTCCCTTCCTCCCATCTTTTACTTACGCTCAGATTTTCTCATTTCATTTTATCGGAGTCTGACATTTGGTCTCATAGCTTCTTTGGGATTCTCCATCTTTTCTGATGCCAGAAGAAAAATATGTTGGCAGAATGAGAAAGGTGAAGAGAGGTGAGGTGCAAAGGACCCTGGGACACATTCACACATGCAAATCCAGACCTTTAAAATAGGGGTGGGGGAGCCTTTTGAGCCCAAGGACTCAGCGATACAGCTGCAAATAAAACATGTTGTAAAGTGCAATATACGAATGTGACACCAGATGGCAACAGTGAGCTAGGCCAAATTCAATGTATTTTTCAAAACGTGTTTTTTTAAAAAGCGTTTTTCCATGTGTGAAGATTCGACCTATGTATTGCTTTCCATGGTGGGGAACATTTTGAGGGCTGTGGGTCAGTGACAGGAAGGGGCAGAGGAAAATGGGGGCAGAACAGATTCTTACCTTCACACAATTCACTGCTTTCCTGTCATGCAAAGGACACCCAAACTCCTTGACAGGAGCGAGCCAGCAGTAAATCACACTGAGCAAGTTGAAGCTAATTCTTTATTAGCAAAAACAGGATCTGCAGAGGAGTGTCAGGCCTAATGACACTTTGGCAGGTCTTGCCCCCATGAAGCCATTGCTGAGATTGAATGTCCCAACCTTCCCACAGCTGCCTCCTCTCCAGGGTTTTCCTCAAGCAACCTGAGACTGAGCTTGAGTGAAGCTAACTTCTCCTGCGCCCTCTTCATGCCTCTCCTGATTCTGGGACACCAGGAGGGAGGGGAGCTTGTCACAACAGGAGGGGGAAACACCTGTGACTCTCCACCAGCCTGACTCATCTCTGCCTCTTGGCCTCCCTCCTCTCCTGCTTCAGCTTCTGCTCCTGATTCTGGACTTCTCTCTGCCACAGACTCCCCCTGCCCACTTGTTGTTGTTTAGTCATGTCCAACTCTTCGTGACCCCATGGGCCAGAGCACGCCAGGCACTCCTGTCCTCCACTGCCTCCCGCAGTTTGGTCAAACTCATGCTGGTAGCTTTGAGAACACTGTCCAACCATCTCATCCTCTGTCGTCCCCTTCTCCTTGTGCCCTCCATCATTCCCAACATCAGGGTCTTTTCCAGGGAGTCTTCTCTTCTCATGAGGTGGCCAAAGTATTGGAGCCTCAGCTTCAGGATCTGTCCTTCCAGTGAGCACTCAGGGCTGATTTCCTTCAGAATGGATAGGTTTGATCTTCTTGCAGTCCATGGGACTCTCAAGAGTCTCCTCCAGCACCATAATTCAAAAGCATCAATTCTTCGGCGATCAGCCTTCTTTATGGTCCAGCTCTCACTTCCATACATCATTACTGGGAAAACCATAGCTTTAACTATACGGACCTTTGTTGGCAAGGTGATGTCTCTGCTTTTTTGCTTTTTTTTGCCCCTGCCCACTAAGCTCTATTATCTCTTCAGTTTATGACAACTCCTCCTCCTAGCTTTCTCCCTCTTCTCCCTTCAACCACTCATTGTGGCAGGGCAGGGCCTGGCAACACCTACAATCATCCCATCTTATGGTGTTTTCCCAGCGTGACGGATTGGGTGGGAGAGAGAAAGAGAACATGTATCCAGTCAGCAAAAGGGTATGCAAGGTATTTGCCCCATTCCTTGGAGCTGATTGTTCAGTGATGTTCCTTCACGAAAATGGGAAGGAGAGATTAAAAAGAATTTCCCCTCAATTCTTCTTGGACAAGTTATAAGCATCACTTCATAGATTTGACAGGAAGCTTAGGGCTTTGCAGGAAAGCAAGGAGGAAACTCAGACCTCCGACTCCTTACCCTCCCTCCCTGAGCATACACACAAACCCTGCCATATCTGCCATGTGAGGCAACTGCCTTACTCTGCCAATTGATAGGGCCGGCTTTGAGCAGCAGCAGCAGCAGCAGCAGCAGCAGGCAAATACCTCCAGTTTCAAACCAAAGAGAACCAGTTCTTTCCTCACATTGGCATTGCATTACAAGACTTCATTTTTTAAAGGCCAACAACAGAATCTTCTGCAAATGGGAAAGTGACGAAAACACACACTCAACTGCGGTTTATTGATGGGAGCCTGCCGGCAGATGATCTGTACAGGAAGTTATGGCAACTTGATTCTCCCCCACCTGCCCTTATTCTTTTTTACTGTTATTATTTTAGTGGCTGGAATACCTCCTCCTTCCCTCTCTCTCTCTCTCTCTTTGGAGAGGAGACCTTGGAACTCATTTTGATATATATCACGAGCACTGCCAAAATGTGACAGCTACTCTATAGCATTTAAAAGCATTGCGCACCTGTCTCCAGGATAATGGCTCGCTGGAGATGTGCGGATGAAAATTGAATTTGTCTTCCAATATGTTTCTTGCCCAGATCAGATGTACCTCCTTTTCCAAACCTCGGCATGGGCTGGTTTACTGCCCATAAACGGGAGCAGGAGGAGAGCATGCACACAAATGATGGGAAGGTCTTTCCAATGACCTTCGGGGAGGCTTTGGAAATGCAAGCTAAGCATCAGCAGCAGCGCTGGATCAAGGATGCGCCAGTGGGAGGGCAGAAGATGCTGTGGTCGCTTGCTCCCTCCTGATTTCAAACCACGTGTGATTGGTTGGTGGGAGATGGGGCAGTTACAGCTCAGGGGGAAGAGCGTAGCACCCAAAGCAGGACATGTTGGGATGGTATCGGTAATTCCGGGATGTCCTGGTCATGTGATGGTTGATGAGTATGGGAAAGTGCAAAGCTAGGCTAATAAGGGGTGTAACCTGGGGAGAGTTCCGGGGGCCAGGCAGAAAGACTCCGAGGGCCACATATGCTCTCTAGGCCTGAGGTCACCGATCCTGGACTTACAGGGTTGTTGTAATAACTAAATCATACACATGACACATTTTAAACACTTGGAAGTGCAATAATAATAATAATAATAATAATAATAATAATAATAATAATAATAATATATTTATACCCCACCCATCTGGCTGGGTTTCCCCAGCCACTCTGGGTGGCTTCCAACAGAATATTAAAATACAATAACCTATTAAACATTAAAAGCTTCCCTAAAGAGGGCTGCCTTCAGATGTCTTCTAAAATCTGGTAGTTGTTTTTCTCTTTGACATCTGGTGGGAGGGTGTTCCACAGGGCGGATGCCACTACCGAGAAGGCCCTCTGCAAATGCCGTTTGTTTTATTTTCATGCCAGGGAAAACTTCTCTGGTGGCTGATGTTATAGGCAAAGAAGTAAGCCAAGCTAAAAAAAGAAAAAGTTTGTACATCCTATGGCAGAGTTGGGAAAACGTGTGTGTGTGAGAGTGTTCCCTTCCGTGCAACCTACTGAGGGTCACATGCCTGTGGTGGGTGGAGCCAGAGATAAAAGTGGGTGGGGCAACCCATGCAAATTTCCATTTTGTAGTTTCTTCATTCCCTTGCCCCCCCCCCTATCCTCCTTCCAGCCTGCCAAGAGGCAGCATCCTAGTTGAAGGACATGTTCCCACCTGGCAAAAACAGGGGGTGCGGCTAAGCAGGGCCAGTGAGGGATGTGGCTAGGGGAGGGTTATGAGGGCCACATAGAGAGGCCTCGGAGGCCACATTGCTCCCCAAGCCTGAGGCCCCCTCTAAAGTTCTGATCTACTTTTCCTCCTGGAAACATTTCAGCCTTTCCTTCCGATCCCTTCTTTCCCACATTTTCAGTCTGTTTTGGCTCTCTTTATCAGTGCTTGGGAGAGAAAAGGAAAGAAAAGCTGTCTGCTGAGCACAACCCTGACTAAGGGGCCAGGAAAAGAAAAAAGCAATAATTATAGGGACCGTTGCCCAGCTCAGTGGTGAAACGCAATTTCTCAGCCAGGAGGGTGCAGCGGGTGAGGGCATCTTCGTACAAATATACCAGCGCGAAATCGAGTGAGTCACGCAGAGGGATGTTTTGATCTAAGGAGAGCGTGTGCCAGGGATAACATGGCAAAATGCAGGGTATGTCAAGGAGGAGGAGGGCTTCAGCCGGCGTGAAATTTATGCCACC